AAACTGTCCGAATGTTCTTTTTATCCGAACGCTTTCGGCTATACATTTAGACATTTTCAAGGATGAAATATTTTAACTGTTAAATAAGAAAGAGTTTGTTGCATGTATGTATTTATATAATGTTTTCTGTTTTCAAAACACGGTCAAGATATTGTGTCCATGTTCATAATTGATATTATTGAGTGTTTTTTTTAATAAGGCTTCCATCATTTTTAACCCTTTTTTTGTATGTAGATGGTAGCAATTTATTAGTGTTACAACAAGTATGTTAAGAATAGTGTCCGGTAGGTCACCATGAATATCTATAACTATCTATCTATATATATATATATATATATATATATATATATATATATATATATATATAAGGTGGCAATAAATAAAAAAATGAACCCTAATAATAAACCACTCTATATACACACATCTTCCAACCACCCGTCTTCTATAATCAAACAGATACCAAAATCGATTAACCGCAGGCTTTCCGACAATTCCTCCAATGAATACATATTTAACAAAGCTAAGAATGACTACGAAACAGCCCTAAAAGTTAGCGGATTCCCAGCAACACTCACATACTCACCACAGAACAAAAAAAAAATGCAGGAAAAGAAATATCATATGGTTCAACCCACCGTACAGCAAAAACGTAAAAAACAAACGTAGGAAAAATATTCTTCAAACTCTTAAACAAACACTTCCCGGAATCAAGCACCCCACACAAAATATTCAACGAAAACACAGTAAAAATCAGCTACAGTTGCACCGAGAACATGGCACAAATAATAAAAAAGCACAACAGGAAAATTATCAACAAACCACACGAACAAATTAAACCTACGTGCAACTGCAGAATAAAGAACGAATTCCCTTAAACGGTAATTATTTACAAAGCCACGATAAAATCACCAGATAATGAAGAAAAAGTATACATAGGAGCAACTGAATGACCCTGGAAACAAAGAAATTATGCACACAAAACATCTTTTACAAATGTTATATATGTGAACAGCACGATGCTTTCTAAGTATATCTGGGAAATTAAAAACCAAACGCACATCACACCAAAAATATCTTGGAAAATAAGGAAAAGATCATCAGCCTACAACAACCAATCAAAAACTTGCAAACTTTGCTTGGAGGAAAAAATAGCTATCTTTACCTTCCTAGACCAAAATAAATTATGAAATAAATGATCCGTACTCATCTCAAAATGCAGCCATGAAAACAAATTTTTACTACATTATTTAAAGATCGAAAACTGAAAAATAAATAAATAAATAAAAATAAATAAACAAAATGACAATAAAATAAGTAAAATAAATTAACCCAAACAAATTACCAAATCACACCTGTTAGAATAGACGAAATAGAATAAATAAATAAAAAATAAAAAGCAAAATCAATGAACTCAAATAAAGTAAATAATAAACAAATTAACAAACCATTATGACCAAAATATTAGTTAGACTATAAATATCAAACCAAAAATCGGACGAAAAAAATATCTATAACTGTTATATAACGATAAAAAATAAATACTATATTGCGTAAAAATCGAAAACCGAAAAGTGTAAATAAAAATATACAGTATAATAAATAAATAATAAAAAAGTAAAATAAATTAATCGAAATTCATCCAAATAAATAAAAATTCTAACAAACCGATCCCCATAAAGTAACCGTTAGCAAAAACAAATAAAGATAATCAATCCAAATAAATACATGAAGTAATAAACAAATTAAAAACTGTTCCCGCCAAAATAACAGTTAGAATAAACTACAACAATCAACCGCAAAATTTAATAATTTTCTTTATCTTCCCAAACCAAAACAAAACTATTAAATAAGCCATATAAACAAATTTTACTCCGTTAATAAAAACACCGACCAATAAAAATAAAAAAATATATATATAAGATAAGAAATAAAAATAAAAAATAAAATAAAAACAAAAAAATAAATAAAAACAAGCAAAATAATTTAACCCAAATAAATAAATAAACAAATAAATAAATAGCCGCCAAAATAGACTACCCACAATGCATCACTGATCCGTATATATAAATAGCCGAGAAAAATAACAGCACACCTCGGCTGACGATTGCGTCTAGCATGAAACAGACTGTCACCTGTAAGTGTTGACTTCTATGTTCCCTTTTTATATATATATATATATATATATATATATATATATATATATATATATATATATATATATATATGGTTACACCTGCCCATAACAGGGAAATTAACACAGAAGATGAGTTTTCCGTGAATTAAAGGATTGTTACTCACTTGTCTTGGAAAAAATACAAAAATCGACTTTCTATGAGTGCGGTTATTTTTTTTTTTTTATAAAAATAACAAGTGAGTAACATTCCTTTAATTCGTGGAAAATTCATCTTCTGTGTTAATTTTCCTATTATGGACACGTGTGACCATTATCGATCACAGGTTTACAATTGGGTTATGGTCAGCTCTCTTACTAGGCCACTGGAAGAGTTAAAGAAATGCTGGAAAAATCTGGCGAAGGACGTTGACTTACTAAAGAATTTAGTCTATAGCATGCCATGAAGAACTAAAGCCATTATTAAGGTAAAGGGTTACCCAACAAAATACTAAATCAGTTTTTGACTTGTATAATGTACATATGTACACCAATATCTTGTATTAATAAACTAATTCTATGACTTGTCTAAGTAAAACTGCAAAATTCGACTTTCTATGGATGCGCTCATTTTTTGCTTTTACTATATATATATATATATATATAGCATAATGAGAAGCCACGTATACTTTCTTAATATGTATATATAGAAAAAGTTTCAAATTGAAAATTATAATGTTTTATTTTATGAAAGTATTTATTTATTTATATATATTTTTTAAATATTTATGACAGTTAGATTTAAGTTAGGAATATCCGAACAGTGACGTTCCATATCACGTGACGTCCGCGTCTCGCGAAGGACGCTACTTGCTAACAAACAGTAATTTTAATTTATTTGTAATAAAACAGTTATTTCTGATGAAAAATTGAGGAGATATATATAAATAAATAAATAATTTCATAAAATAAAACATTATAATTTTCAATTTGAAACTTTATATATATATATATATATATATATATATATATATATATATATATATATATTTGAAACGGCCAAATATAATCAGGCGTGTAAGTGTGTGCTGGTGTGCATGCGCAGTCAAGCAAATAACTAATCGTTAAATTTATGCATGAGGTGTAAACTTAATAGTGCTCAATGCGGTTATACAAAAGCACAGTTGGGTATTAACTCGAACATATACGTACATTGGCGTGTAACTATAGTTTCACTGGTGGTGTTCCCAGTTCATCAGAGACCCTGTGCCCGATGAACTAGGAACACCATCCATCGAAACTATAGTCGCACGCCAAAACGTAGGTACTGCGTATATGTATTATATATATATATATATATATATATATATATATATATATATATATATATATATATATATATATATATATATATATATATATATATATATATTTTTAGATAATTATTATGTAAGTATTTACATTAGTCGGACTACTGTCTCATCTTTGTCGCCATATTTGTCACAACGGCCGTTGTACGCTCCGACCTTCTTCAAACATGGCACGTGGAACTAGAACAGTCTACTCCAGTGATCGAAATAAAGGGTTCAGTTCGAAATTCCAACCACCTGAAGAAGGCCGGAGCGTACAACGGCTGAAACGTTGTGAAAAATATGGCGACAAAGATGAGGACAATAGTTCGACTAATGTAAATACTGTATATATATATATATATGTGTGTGTGTGTGTGTGTGTGTGTGTGTGTGTGTGTGTTAGTTAAACTAATTTAAATCAGAGTTGGGTTAAATGTTAAACTATGCATTTAAATTTTTAAAAAATGGTATTTATGAAAAAGAATGAAAAGAAAAAACGCTCCCACCCCACCGAAAAAAAAATTTAAATTTAAAAAAAAAAGTCAATGATGCTGACCATATCTCCTAAATCTTCCCGGCTGCAAAAAAGAAAAGTTGGTTTCTTTTTGTTCATTTTTTTCTGTTTCCATTGCGTCTAATACAGTAACACAGAAATACTGAGGAAAAAAAAATATATATATACACACTATAGATACACATATTTAAACAACGAAAGAAATATGGCCGCTGAAAATCAGCAATGAATTTTCTTCGGCTGACTCGTGAAAAATGTTAATAACGCTCGTTTCTAACAATTATGCCGGTTTTAATCATAAGAAAAGAATGTATCAGAATGAAGACGATTATTATTATTATTATTATTATTATTATTATTATTATTTTTTTTTTCACTAAGAAAGAAATGAAAGAAGAAATTAACAAAGAAAAAAATGCTAGGTACAAAAAAAAACTGTCTTTTTTGAAAAGCGGACCGAACAAAAAGAAGACTAAATCGACGAGACAAAGGCAAATGAAATCTGAAATTAAAAGGTAGAAATTAGCGAAAATACAAAACTCAGCGTTAGGCTAGCTGTTTCGTTTTGTTTTCGTCTACTTTGATTTTTACAGCTTTCGTCATGCTTAATGTTGTTGTTGTTGCTGTTGTTGTTGTTGTTGTTGGTGGTGGTCTTGGCGGTGGTAGTGGTGGTGCTGCCGCTGCTGCTGATCTTACCTGGTTTTTGTTTTTCTCCTTCTTTCCTTACTTTTTCCTCTTTACAATCTGGATCCAGTGCTTCTCCATCTTCTTGATGCTCCTCGTAGTTCTTCCCGCTTTTACATTTCGATCATCATCATCATCATCACCAGAAGCATCAGAAGCATCAGAAGCATCGTCATCAGAAGCATCATCATCAACATCAGAAGCATCATCATCAGAAGCATCATCAGAAGCATCATCAGAAGCATCATCATCAGCAGCAGCAGAAGCATCACCATCTCTTATTTCCTCTTCTTCTTCTTCTTACTTCCTCTTGTTCTTCTTCTTCTGCTGCTGCTGCTGCATGTTTCCTCTATTTCTTTCTGTACTTTATTCTTACCATCTTATTCTTCCACTCAGTCTCCATATTGTTTCCTCTATCTTCTTTATTATGATTTGTCGTTGTCGTCATCACCATCATCGAGTATCTTCTTCTTCTTCTTCTTCTTCTTCTTCTTCTAATTCGTCGTCGTCGAAGCCAGCATTTCGTTCAACAACTTCATTTTCATCTTGACTATACGTTATTTTGACTATGTCTTATTTTAGTATGAAAATCAGTCATAAAATTACTATTACTTCTAGTGATATGGTTGTCAGCAAATGAGACAGCCCAATATGTGTGTTACATAATGGGGATGTTAGCAAAAAAAAAAAAAAAAGGAAAACTAAACCAATTCCTAAACAAGATAATAAAATAAAGCGAGCATAAAGGATTAACAATTAACTGCAAGAATACAGAATATATGATCGTCTCTAAATGAGACAGCTCAATGATTGAGGTACATATTGGGATTCTCAGAATCAAGTAAATACATGAATTTAAATACAGATCCATAGGAGAAATGAAATGGCAACAATGGCTTCCAGGGAACAAAGCAAAGTACTAAGTGATAGGAAAAATTGTTCTAAACAAAAACAAGTGTACTGAAAACCTGTGTATATATCAAAACACCTATATGGCAGTAAATGCTTGGAAAGTTTCTTACAAATGAATAAGATGATCAAAGCGACAGAGATATGCATCTATCGATGGATACTAATAATACCATGATCAGGACATGTGATCAATGAGGAAGTTTTAGAGAAACTAGTCACAAAAATAACAAAAAGTTAAAATCTTAAGGAGACGATTAAAATGCTTTGGAGACGTTATGAGGAAGGTCAACTTGAAAAACGTAATACGCACAGAATGTAAAAACAACGTTAAGTCAGATCATGCCTTAGTTGGGGCGGGGGGGTGGTCAGGTAAATAAAATCGATTCGCGTCATTTTGGCCGGGCTGAAAAGGTAGTATCTGTTCTCTCCTTGTTGGAGATATGGAAAAGGCGTCCGATCTCGGGAATTCCAATCATGCAATTTACCTTCACCATTAAGCCAAGGGAGGTTGTATCGGGGTTATATCGTTGCTAACGCGACAATGGTCGCTGGGATTAGGCAATGTCATTAGCCCATATGCGCATTTATATGAATGGGCACCTCACGTTAAAAATGACTACAGGCCACAATATACCTTAGTGGGAAAACCAGGTAAATACTACATATATCAAACACTAGCAATTTTAATAAAGCTTGTCTTGCTAAATTAATTGCAAATAAATAGTGGGTTCGATCCACGCTTACGGTCTTATGCGAGATGTATGCTACACTTACTAAATTGTTATATCGGGTGTAACAGCAAAATTTTCTTGTAACAACATAATTGTCCATCGCACAAAACGTTTAATATCTAAAAAAAAAAACACTAAATTAATTGAATTTCTTTTTTCTAGGTTTTCAGATAAGACGTGTTGCCATCTTGATAGCATTTAGCGTAAGAATCACCGAAAAACACTTTGAGTTATTCAGCTGGAAAGAGAACAGGTTAAAAGTGTTTTGTGTCAGCCCCACTTTATCTTCCCAACTGAGCAATGGTGAAAGGAAAAAAATCATTCAAGCATTCAGTAATGGTACGAACATTCATACTCTGGCTTCCATCTTCAGAGTCCATTCAAGAAACATCAAGAGAATGGTGAATAGGTTTAAAAAAAGGGGGAAAAGTAGGGAGGAAAACTGGATCAGGAGGTCACAACAGGAAGAGGGATCTTCATTTCAAATTAGGGTTTAAGATACCAATTAGAAAAGATCCAACTCAATCTATAAGTCATGTGGCACGTAAGAGAGGAGTTTCAACCATGACAGTTCAAATAGCAGTGGAAAAAGACTTGAAAATGAAATCGTACGTGAAAGTGTGAGGCAACTTGTCACACTAGTACAGAACCTTAGAAGGTTAGAGAGGGCGAAGATCATCTTGAATAAGGCGGAAAATGATCCTGGAATATATATATATATATATATATATATATATATATATATATATTAGAAGTTTATTTCAATCCTTTATGAGCTTCTGATCGTTAGCTATGATTAATTAATGACGAACATGTCATTTTCGTTTATGATCGATTTCATCACGATTCTTCTGTTAAACTTGGAGAGTAATTATACATTCTTATTGCTCAAAGTGGAGTCCAACAATGTCATAAAAACCTCGGAGAATTCCAGTAAGATATCTTTAATCATAAGATACAACGTGTTCAAAGCTTAATCTAACAAATGAACAATTTTACTAATACATGATTTGGACAATTTTGCTGTTACACCCCGTATATGAAGAACAATTGACCTAGCAATTGATTCAATATAATCGCACCACTTCATATCAGCAGAAAACGTGAGACCAGAAAGGCGTAATCCGTTGCTCTCCTGGAGGTTAGCATCAGCCATACTGATGGTAGGTAAAAATGGTTCTCTATGCTATTTGAAAGATAACAGTTTTGGCTTTAGGGGAGTTAAAATTTACAAGCCATTTCTCGGCACCGTAATCCATTGATTGGTGGTAGTTTTCGAGGGCAATTTTAAGTGATTTCTTATCCCCTGCTACTATGTGAGGTCTGGCAAGACACAGTACTTAACACGACCGAGTCAGTCGTGATAGTATTATTCGTTATTCAGCGAGACAAACCACTGCAATATTATTTAGTTTCTGGTCAATTACCTAGGACTACTTATCATGAATGGATCAGCACCGGAGCAGAGAGTCATAAGGTGTGCTATATTTATGGGATAAAGTGCTCAATATAAAAAATAAAGAGTGTGTAAATATAAAAGTGAACATTGGCGTGAACACTAAGAAGCGACAGTCTGTTTCATGCTAGATGCGAGATCTGACGACTGCGTCGAGCATGAAACAGACTGTCGCCTCTAATTATTGACTTCAATGTTCACTATATATATATATATATATATATATATATATATATATATATTAAGACATTTTTATGTTTATACGTTCTTTTTAGAGATACAGATATTTAAGTAAATGCTCTGTTTATAATAAACAGTATTAACGGCATTTACCAGCCTGAATGTCGTAGAAATTTTCATAGAAAATATGCGTCCTTCGACAGGAATCGAACCTGTTTTCTACGCAGAACCGTCATATAGCCTGACGTGCTTTTACCGATTTAGCCACAGAGGAGCGTTTCGGTTAACAAGGTCGATTTTACTGTTTTTAAACTACAATTCTCCATGATTTTCTCTCGTACATTCATAACTGCTCGATGCGTATCCAAATATAAGCGAATGACGTCACACATTATGAAATGGACAAAGTCCGACAATTATTTTAACACACACACACACACACACACACACACACACACACACACACACACATATATATATATATATATATATATATATATATATATATAGGAATGGGTAGACTTATTACTGTACAAGATAGATTCTGGTGAGAAAAACTGTCTAGCCCGACATAGTGAACCAACTTTCTTAGCTGCAGACTTAGCAACTGATTCAATAGACTATTTCCACTTCATGTCAGGGAAATACGTTAGTCTGAGAAAGCACAATGAGTCGCTCTCTTGGAGGTTAGCATCAGCCATACTGAGGGAAGGTAAAAATGTAACAAAAAAAAATTAGTTAAACGACAGAATAGATAAGGGTCACCACTTTCCCCCGTCCTAAAAATCGGCATGGTGACAAATTTTATGTCACATACATTAATATTGATTGACCATGCGCAAAAAAAATAGGCACTTTTGTTCTATTGATGTGTGTTGGAAGAACATAGTGAAAAAATATGTGAAATCACAGAGGTTTATTAGTTTGCGTTGTCACCTTAGTCTACTGAATATTTCAGCGTTTTCCTAACTGATTTTAATAATGCAACCGTTTACCAGTCTTCGATTATTATTATTATTATTATTATTCATATCATTATTATTATTTCCTTTGATTTCTGGCGTTTACACATTTCTTTCCGGGTCCTGCCCAGGAACCTAAGGTTAGAAATGGCATCATGGGACTTTCCGCTGACAAAAAAAAAAAAAAAAATTACATAGATAAATCCCTTCGTCATTTCCCACCATACTTCTCCATATTTGGTATGTTTGATTCGTGGTGTTCTTTGCTGGGTTTTCGAGTGCAGTGAAGAATGATGTCATGACTTGTTGATACTCTTCACGAGACCATTTCGTTCATTTTCTTTTTATTATTTGATTTGGCATTGAGCCACTTGGTCCAAGGTTGACAATAATCCGGGTTTGGTGACCAAGTGTCTCTTCGTTTGGGGAAGAGTTTGTTCCAGTGAGAGATTTTTCGTCCTCAGACTGGTTCCTCTCTGAGGGACGCGGCCCTTGTTGACCCGAGTGACCACCAATCCGGTATAAAATTTTATTCGTATTCGTTGAAATTGCGTTTTAACCTTGACCGCCAAGGGGTAATTATGTTCAGGTTACCAGCTTTAGGACGACTCTCGAAGACCCAAGAGCACGTCCAACCAATAGGATTGGTACGAATGTGGATTTCATCATCATCATCATCATCATTATTATTATTATTATTATTATTATCATGTGTAAAAAAATTACCTAGATTTGCGTTATAATCACATGTCTTAACCTGCGACCTATGGCAAGCAGGAGTGTAGCTTTTTCCCTTGTTGCCTGTTTAAGACTCGGTTTGGGATTGTGTTTCTGGGTCCTTCGAAAGTTCCTTTCCACTTCTTAACGTGTTGGCCTAAATACTGAAAAGTCATTTACTATTTTTCTCTCCTCAATAGGAGTTGATAGGTTCGCCTATCGTCAGGTTAACATTCCTCCCCTGTCTTTTGAACAGGTGTTGTGGGTTTATGCCTTTGTTTCCTGTTTAGGATTGGGTTTCAGACTCCTTCTGAAGTCAACTTCAATTCTTTACTTCTAAATCTGAAATTTTATTTACTATTTTTTTTCGCAGTAGGAGTAGATAGGTTCCTCTATCGCCCGGTTCATACACCTCCCCTGTCTTTTGAACAGGTGTAGGGGGTTATCCTTTGTTTCCTGTTCAGGATTAGGTTTCCGGTTCCTTCTAATGTCTTTCATTCTCATTATACCCAGTAACCCTGTGCCTCTATCGCCCGGTTCATACTCCTCCCCTGTCTTTTGAACAGGAGTAGGGGGTTATCATTTGTTTCCTGTTCAGGATTGGGCTTCCGGTTCCTTCCAATGTCTTTCATTCTTATTATCCCCAGTAGCCCTGTGCGTCTTAGCTAAACATGTGATTTTTTTCGACCACTTAATTTAAAAAAAAAACAGCTGTTGACAAAATAAATAAATTAAATTAAATGTAAAAAAGAACTCATCGCTAAATATGTGCTGTGATTGTTATAACTGTTTTTTGAAATGGTGCAGCAGGGATTTTGATGATTGCTTCTTGAGTTCCTTTTCTTATCAGACCCAAAGCTCCTACCCTAACAAGAAGAGTTTTAGTGTTCAGAGCCACATTTCTTTTTTTTATTTCCATCTCCAGGTGATTGTATGTTTAGTTTTTGCAAGAATCTTCGCAGAGACATTTTTGACATTTGGTACGCACATCTCAATCAGTACGCAAACTTATTCTTTTCTGTCTTTGATAATAATGTCTAGGCGGTTCCCTTGTATTGTTCGATCTGTGTTGATTGGAAAATCTCAAATGATCGTAATATCTGCTTCCACAACCACAGATTCAGATTGATGGCCATACCAATTTGCAGGTCGTTTTATCCCGTAGTGTTCACATATCTTTCAATGATAGGTCCTGGTCTGGCATCTAGTCTACAATCGATATCCCACAGACGTACTGTGGCCTCCCTCTGTCTCTTCTTATTTTCACGAGCTACTTTCGCTGGTTCCCGAACTTCATGAATTTAAGCGAGCTATCAGACTGGCATCTCGGTCCCATCCTTTCACTGTCAAAAAGGTTTAAATGTAACCGTCTCTTCTACTCAAACAGCTTCTTTTACAGCACTTCCCGTCTGTGGAACTCCCTTCCCCTTACTTGCCTCTCCGATGACTATAATCTTCAAATATTCAAATGTAATGTCAATCGACATCTGACACCCTGAGCTTGTTCCCCGTCCTTCTCTGTATCCTTTCCTCAAACACGCCTATTTACTCTTGTTCTCAATCCCCTGTAACCCCTTGCGTGCTAACGGCACTCCTGCCTTGCTTAGGGTGAATTGCCTAACAGAAAAATAAATCAGATATTGACCTTTCTTGTAAAGATGGGGTTTCTACTCATTAGGTGAAAGTATTGAACATCTTTGAGGTAAGGTGATAAATAATTTCCATGTATTGGTCACTGAACTTTTCGTCTGTACTATGTTGCAAGATATCAGCTTAGTCGTTGAGTGTAAGCAGGCCCCGTTCCTGTGCAACGTGAAGAAACCCTTCAGGCTTTTCCTGAAATCCTCAATCACAGTTGGGTTGCGGATTAATAAAAGCGCCGTGATTATTTTTGCGTTGTCTTCTGTCGACATATTTATGCTGAATCTGCCTCTATTTACCTTCCTCTTTCTGCTATAAGACAGCGTTATGACTAGAATTCTTACGAAGTGCGTGCAAAGACGCCTACACTGCGTAATGTTTAAATATATATATATATATATATTGGAAATATTCAGTCCAATTAAAATGTACCTTCCCTGAGTTGCTTCTCTAATACTCTATAGATTTTGTCTCATTGTATATATTTTAAATCAGCATTTCTCATGTCATATATATATATATATATATATATATATATATATATATATATATATGTGTGTGTGTGTGTGTGTGTGTGTTTTCAAATATCGTTATCTCACACACACACGTATTATAGTAAAAAGAAAGAACAGTAAGATATATAATCCGGTGTTCTTAATTGATATTTTTATTTTTACAAAACAGTGCTCAATATAAATTTGCAGTTAACTGATTTAAAATAGGGTTTCTTCGCTACACAGAAATTACCATGTTTCAAAAACCGAAGCTAAAAACTTCAAATTTAATTATATAATTACATTAAAAGCATTAGTTCTGTTTCACCTTCAAGCGAAGAAACCATATTTTAAATCAGTTAACTTATAATATATATATATATATATATATATATATATATATATATATATAGTTATTCTTCTCCTAGAACAGTTGATATGCAAGGCTATAGAACCCAGTCTGTCCTGCTATTACTGGGTAAAAAAAAAAAAAAAAAAAAAAAAAAATTGTACTTGGTTCTACACAAAGCCTTCACCACTATAATCAAATCCTATGTGCTGGTGTCTGGCTGTTGGTTCCTAGGAACTGAGCTGTTTGACGAATACGACGGAACAGTCCACCATATATATATATATATATATATATATATATATATATATATATATATATATATATATATGTGTGTGTGTGTGTGTGTGTTCAAAAAGGTGCGATATATAAATTGTTGTCTAAATTACACAAAAATCAAAATAACACTGACATCTCATTTATATTTACCAAAATTACACAAAATATCTTCAAATACTAAAGAGAACATTTATTCAATAAAATCGCCAACCACGGCCTTCAGACGACTTCGGAATCTCCTGCATCTCATCTGGACGGCCTCCTTTTTTAAGTTAGTGAATGCTGTCATAATCCTTACTTTCAGTTCGTATTTGGTGTTACAAGGAGTTTTGTTTGTTTCTCGATCAACTGCGTTGAGAGAGACTATATATAGTCTCACTCTCTCCATCTCTATCTCTATATATATATATATATATATATAATTCTGTTTGTTCCTTCCTTAGTTACTTCAGTTAGTTATGTGCCATGCGTATAATAAACGCTTAGGCGATCATGTATCTAAAGATACATGATTGACGAGGGAGTTTTTTTCCCGCAGTAGGTTGCCATTTCTTTCGCTAGACCAGTTGCCATCCAAGAATATAAAACCCGGGCGGTCTTGCCAATTACTCATATGTGGTGGGAGAAGAAGACTGTTTCCAAGGTATGAATTTCCCAAGAAAGTAAATGGATGTAATGGATTCAACTGGAATTCGAAATCGGCTCTCCGATTCCTCAAACCGTGTCGCTATCCATTACCATCGTTCCTCTTAGTTATTTAGCACAACCTACTTCTTAAAATAACAACCTGCATTTTTCAGTGGTACAGTATCAAACGACGGTAAGAGAAATGCTCGTAAAACAGGAAAGAAAGAAATAAGGGAAGATAGAATTGGGGGAGAGAGAGAGAGAGAATCAGATTAAGATGATAGGAACAGATCCTACATTTTGATCTCAGCCAAAAGGCCGGGAAGAATGGTGACCTCGATAAAAGCGCCATTTTTCAGACGTAAGATGAAAACCAAGTACAGCGATCGTTAAAAATCCAATTACAATAAATTAAATAAAATAACATCATCTGCTGAATTAATTTAAAATTATTATTAAGAGAAATGCTCGTAAAACAGGAAAGAAAGAAATAAGGGAAGATAAATGTGTTTAAAGTCTTCTGCCAACACCTCATAAATAATGGACTACTCCGTTTTGAAAGAGGGTAAAAAGGACACTACTTGGATTTAGCGAGAAAATGTAAGAAATTGTTTAAGAGGAGTGTTTAATAACAGAGCATATAATTTACAAAATATAATTGACAAAATCCAAAGACGGATATTCAGTGTGACTGGTCATGTTTTTCTACAAATATTTTCATGACAACTACATGAATTTAAGCGTGCTAGTAGGTTAGCATCGAGTTACCACCCTTTTACTGTTGAAATAGTTAAATGTAAACGCCTCTTCTACTTCAAGAGCTTGTTCTCTCGCACTTCCCGACAGTGAAACTCCCTTCCTCTTACTTCCCTGATAACTGCTCTCTTCAAAAAATTATATTTAACGTCAATCATCTTCTGGTGCTTTGGTTTCTTTTTTTCTTTTTGTCCTCACTCCTCCTATACCAATTCTTTTCTCTCACTTTCACTCTCTTTAACCCTTTGTGTACTAGTGGCATTCCTGCCTTACTTGGGGTGAAATACTTTAAAAATGTATCAACTCTTTATGGGTCATTTAGATTCGAAATTTTATTTTCTCTTGGGCTTTGTTAATTTTTTTTTACAAAATATATTGCTGGTAATTTTTTTTACTATGAAAAGGTACTGTTGGTAATTTTTTGTCATGTATATTTATATATTCCTATTTTGACCCTAGTATGGGGGTTGACTAATTTGCACACTAATACGTGGCATCACCCTTTCTCTCTCTCTCTCTCTCTCTCTCTCTCTTTCTTTCATTTTCATATTTTTCTCTTCATTTCTCTCTCTAATTAATTTCTCTCTCTCTCTCTCTCTCTCTCTCGCCAGTACATTCTTTCTCTATCTCTATTTTTATTTCTCTCTATTCGTTTTCAACACCCACTCTTATATATCTCTGTGTTTTCCTCTTTCTGTTTCCCTCGCTTTATTACTCCTCCTCCTCTTTATTTTTCTATTCATTCCACTCTCTATTAATTTCTCTGTTTCGTTCGCAATTTCACTTTGGCGTTCTTTCTTTATATCTCGCCCTCTCCGTCTCTTTCCCTCTCTCCGTCTCTTTCTCTCTCTCCGTCTCTTCCCCACTCTCTTTCTCTCTCACTCAGAGCCGAAAGAGATAGAAAAAAAAAGGATAGTGAGAGAGTATAAGGAGACAAGAACATTATAAAAAGAAGAAATAGTGATCGCATCCTACACACGTACAAATTTATTTACAGATCTGTATGCTCGAGAGGTTTCGTAGAAAATATGCGTTCTTCGACAGGAATCAAAACTGTATTCCTATACGGAAACCTTCATTTGATCTGACGTGCTATGCCATTTAGCTACAGAGAAGCTAATGTAACAGAAATTTTAGATTTCCAAGGTTTCATTACTGCGATTGTTATCGGCGATTTTTGACGTGAATTTTTTTAAACGAATTATTTCGTACGATAACGATTTTTATAACTTGGAAATAAATTTGGGAATAATTGAAATTAACTGTAATACCCAGCAGGATACACCCATGAAATAAAAATAATTGTTTGTACGGAAAGTAAGGACCTACGTACATCAAATTGTCTTTAAATTAAGTGGCGTCAGAAGAATTCTCCTTAAACTTTTAAAAGATATGCTAAAATATTAATGCAATACTTAAATGCAGCAAAACATTTTGTGTTTTTTTTTTAGTTTGTTGTTGCCTATTGCATACTTGCCCCGTAAAAAGAAATCTCTGTCAACAGCAGACCAGATTGCAGTCAAAAAAGCCAAGGCTGCAGCGAGGAAAAGAAAGTCCCGTGCAAATTAATGCCCACATCAAACGGCAGCGAGGAGAGCTTCCAATGCTGAGGATATGCAAAGACTTAGGGACTCTTAAAGTCCTGAACAAACCGAAGGCCCATTCAAGATCCCTCCACAGGAGCTAGTTTAAATGGCGTCCAATAGGGCGGATTTTAAGCCAGTTTTCTATATATCCGAAAAGAACACTTCATCTCCCTTATCCAGTAACTGATCTGACAGTCACAGAACACTGTTATTTGTATTAAAAAGAAAACTTTATCAACCATCATTGGGTTAGTTGCCCTTCTAAAATGGTCAGCCTTTGTACCAGCAATAAAGATCTTATAATATCGAGCAAAGGCGTATGAATGCAAGACAGTACACTGGGTGAATCTCTCTCTCTCTCTCTTTCTCTTTCTCTTTCTCTCTCTCTCTCTCTCTCTCGCGCGCGGCAAATCTAGTAATCTATAAGGAGGGATCCAAACAGCCGTTGCTAGTCAGACTCATATATCACAGTATTTCTTCTCCTAGTTAAGGGTCCAACCGTAGTGTTAATATTTAGTAGAACAGGACGATAGGGCCACAAGGGATAAGAAATTGTGGAGAGCCATGATCAAACAGTCTTAATGACATAACATTTACATATGATACGGGGTTGGTTCCAGACGTAGAAAGTAACCTGAAGCAGTTCCTAGACAAGTTAGTAAAGGAAAGTGAGAAGAAAGGACTATCTATCTATTGTAAGAAGACTCAAGCTGCGAGTTACGAATTAGTCACCAAAATTAAGCAACTAGAAAAATTTCGGTATCTGGAAGTATGTTTTTTTGTTCTTTACAGAACACAAAAATGTGACACCGAAATTCGTAGTTGCATTGCAACAGACGAAGATGTTTTCGAAAAGCCAAACAAAGTATTAAGAACCAGGAAAATTTTGCTAGAAATAAAGAAAGGTGTGCTGTACTATGTAATATCACTCCGGCTATATGTCAGTGAATGCGGAGGATTCTCCTCGCAGAAGAGAATGATAAGGCAACAGAGACGTAGGCCTACAGAAAGATGCTGAGAATGCCATGGTCGGTGCATGTAAAATGTAAACAACGAGGAAGTCTTATAGAAAATGGAAACAAAAATAGAAGTTAGATTCAAAAAGAGACAGTTGAAATTTCAAGAAACACGTAATAAGGAAAGAAGGCTTGGAAAATTTGACACCCGCAGGACAGATTATTGGTAAGTGGGGCAGGGGAAATCAGCGCATCACCTATCCAACAATCTTTTGGAAATGGATGACAGATGAGGGTTTAGGAGAGACAGCAAAGAGAAAATAAAAAGAGCTAGAAAAAGGAGGAAATTGTGGAGAGCCATGATCGCCAATGTATTGAACGGAGACAGCACATCGTAGAAGAAAGAGATTCAAATTAGAGGGAAAGTTTTGGAACAACTCAACCTCAAGGCTTGCACATATGACATTTATAAAAAAGCGATATTTTTAATGAACTTAGTTAAACAACTACTTCCTTAATATTATTTTACGACAAAACTGGTATTAAAGTTTTTAGGATCATCCCACATTACATCTCCAGAATCTAACTTACAAATTTATGTCTGCCATTCGTCCATTCATTGAATATTGCTGTCAGGTCAGGTCTGGTTCTATACCGTTAGAGATTCTCGATGAAATATAAAGAATCTGCAATATTGTTGGTCTTGACATAGTATCTCCGTTTCTGTTATTTTCCCACAGCCGATGCTAAAAAATTCAAATTTAATTATATAATTAAATTAAATGCATTAGTTCTGTTTCATCTTCAAGCGAATTTTGGAACCTGCTGCTCCTGCAATATATTTAGAGATTCCAAAATTCACTCTCTATTAATACGCTGAGAGAACCCTTTACACCTTCCATCAGTATGGCTGATGCTAACCCCCGGAAGAATGACTCGTTGCGCATTCTCGCGCTAACGTTCTCGGCCAACATGACAGGAAAAGATTATACTGAATCCATTGTTAGGTTTACTGCTAGGAAAGTTGGTTCACTGTGTCGTTCAAGACAATTTGTCAAGTCTGAATCTATCTTGCATATCTATATGTCTTCCATTCGCCCATGTTTAGAATATTGCTGCTACATATGGCCCGCTGCTCCTGCTATATATTTAGATTTTTGATAAATTCCAAAGGAGAATCAGCAATATTATTGGTCCTGATCTGGCGGCTCGGCTTCAGTCACTTTCCCACCCCCAATAAAAGTGCTTCTTTATACCTTCTTGTATAAGTACATTCATGGCAATTGTTTGGATGATCTTATTGCTATGGTACATAGACTTAATGAAGTAGATCTTCGACAAGGTTTAACAGTTGAAATGGCTAGATGTAAATGTTAGTCTTAAGCTAGCAGTTTCTTATATCGCACTTCTCGCTTGTGGAACTCTCTTCCGGCTTCTTGTTTCCCAGCCAACCTGGATTTTCACAAATTCAAATGCGCTGTTAAGCATTATCTTCTGTCTTCTAAATTCTTTAGTATTTTTCTTATTCTCTTACACTCAACAACCCCTAGCGTCTTAGGGGCTTTACAGTCTTACTTGGGGTGAAATGATTACAAAATACGTGCAAGTCTAGGATGAGGCTAATAAATATGTACAAAGCTGATATATGAAGTAATCTGAGAGATATATTTTTTTTTCCATTCGGCGTCTTTTGATTTATTCGCCAATAACAGGTTTTCAGGCGACGTAGAAACTGGACGAAGGATAAAAGAAAAAGTTTTTGTTTTGATTGTTAAAAAAAATAGGGGTGCTGGCCAAAAAAAAAAAAAAAAGAAAAAAGAAGTCTGATGGAAGACAATGAAAGAAATTTCCTGTTTTTCTTTATATGAATTGTTTTTTCTTTTCTTTTCTTTTCTTTTTTTTTTCCATATCGTTTGTTGTTATTTCGGTATTGTTTATTTAATCATTTTGTTTATTTGCCCTAATCGCTATGATATATTGGTGTATTATGATTCGGTTTGAAAACAGATGTAAATAGCATTCTTTCAGGTTCAAGTTTATATATATATATATATATATATATATATATATATATATATATATATATATGCGTGTTCGTGTATGAGTGTGTGTGGTTGGGGTTCAAAATAGTCATATGCTTATTGATGTATATTCATATTATTCAAATATATGTTTGTATATTTGTCTACGATCATTTATACATAGGGCATTTGCAATATATTTCTGCACACACACCTCTCTCTCTCTTTCTCTCTCTCTCTCTCTCTCTCTCTCTCTATATATATATATATATATATATATATATATATATGCTCAAGTATGAGATTGTTGCAGATGGAATAAAATTCAAATAACCAAAATCACTATTCTTAAAAGAGTGCCGATTACTGAGTAGAGCAAATAATATTTATTCAAAATACATATGCATGTTATAACACAACTACAAAAATTGCAATTTTGTTTCAACATTTCCAATGTCTTATCAAGTGATGGTGCTGATTGCCAGCAGTGTTTGAGAATGCGTATGGTATAATTTTGAATATATATATATATATATAAGTGAACGTGTTTCATGCTAGATGCAATCGTCAGGGTTGCCTGACGATTGAATCTAGCATGAAACAGACTGTTGCCTCTAAATGTTGACTTCTATGTTCACTTTTATATTTATACACGCTCTATCTCTGATATTGAGCACTTTATCCCATAAATATAGCACAGCTTAAGACTATATTTCTTCATATATATATATATATATATATATATATATATATATATGACGTCATATATTAAGAAATGGACAAAGTCCGACAATTTATTTATTAAAGACATGTTTATGTTTAACGTTCTTTTTTATAGATACAAGTATTTAAGTAAATGCTCTGTTTATAATAAACAGTATTAAATAACATTTACCGGCCTGAATGTCCGAGAAATTTTCATAGAAATGTCTTTAATAAATAAATTGTCGGACTTTGTCCATTTCTTAATATATGACGTCATTTGTTTACATTTGATACGCCATGAGCAGTTATGAATGTACGAGATTCATGGAAGATTGAAATTTATGAGCAGTAAATTCGAACTTGCCTACCGAACGCTCCTTTGTGGCCGAGTCGGTTAAGGCACGTCAGCGTAAGTGACGGTTCCGTATAGGATGCAGGTTCGAATCCTGTCAAAGGACGAATATTTTCTATGAAAATTTCTCGGACATTCAGGCGGTTTCTCTTCACTTCTTTTTTTTCAACTATAAACTCTTTTTTTCATATATATATATATATATATATATATATATATATATATATATATATATATATATATATATATATATATATATATATATATATATATATATATAT